ATACCCCCTGACCTCAATCGCCCCCAGCAAGAATCCTCCCTTGCTCCTCAGGCCAGAATCCTCCTGCTCCCTTGTCAAGCAGCCTGCCCAGTGGCCAGGCAGCTTGCCCCCGGCCAGACCTCACACTCTCATCTCCTCCCACCCCATCCCATTCATTGGTAATCCTGCCCCGCACAGTTAACTCCTCATTTTTTGCTCCACCCCAGATCCTAGGAGGGCCCACAAAATCCACTAACCCCAGAAGAGTAAATCTGGCCTTAGGCCTTGAACCTCAGTCCTCTGTGTCCCTCCCCCCACTATGGGGCTGGAGCACCATGGGAGTGAGGTGTTCCAGGTGAGGGGTCACATTCATGAGGGTTGGGGGGTTTTGGAGGGTTGTTTGGGAGTTTTTTTGTTTCTCATTTGTTAGGTCCCCAACTGATTTTTCTGTGGGTCAGTGGACCCTGACTCAAAAAAGGTTCCCCCGGTCCTGCCATAAATCAAGACAATGTTGAAACCTTTGTGTAGGACATAATATTTTACATTATTTTAAAATGAAGCCTGGTGAACAAGCCCTGGCAAAGGACTCCAAATCAATTGGAAGACAGACAGTTACTGTTTTCAAGAAAGGAGTAGTCACAGGTGGGCCTGAGTGGGCTGTGGCCCACCCATTTTACATCCAAGTCCACCCCCACCAGCCCACCCAGTGCTCCAGCCAGGGAGTACCGGACTGTGCCCCAGAGCTCCGTGTTGGGGAGCTTGCCCCAATGTGTCCTGGAGCTTCTGGCCGGGGGGCTTGCCTCGTCGTGTCCCAAAGCCCACAGCCAGGGAGTGGGGACCAGGGCTTAGTTCCCAACTCTTCTGTCCCACTCCACCCATTCTTGCCCACCCACCCAAAGTCGGGGCCTTCTGGCTATGCCACTGGTTTGCAGGCAGTTATGAAAGACCTGAACGTCGCAAACAGTATCAAAGATTTCTGTCCCTAGTTTGACTTGCAGTTTTCATCAGATATTGTTTTTCCTAACACGATGAGAACCAGCAAAATTTGTATTGGCATTGTCTGCACAAAGCCCAACAAGTTTTTCACTAAGAGAATGTTTCTCAATCAATTGATTTAGACATTCACATTACACATCAGAAATTTCACATGGTAGAGAAGAAAACTCAAATTTTTGTGTTTACCTGACTACACTAATTGGAAGAAAATAGTACACAAGAATAGCTTTTGTTCCCTGCTAAGTGTGACAAAGAAGCATTTCTCTAAATCACAGTGTAGTTCTTCTGTCTATAATGGAGCTAATACACTGAAAATTATTGCCTCAGATTTTGTACGTTAAGATGAAAACTTGGGTTTTTAAATCAATTGCAAGGTTCAGCAATTAGATCTGATGGTACACAGAATGATAAGCAAAGAATCCCTCATTTCATGTGTTTGATGAGGTTCTGTATTTTGCTTAACCAGAAAGTCCAAAACACTTGGAGTTGCAGTTCATTCAGTGCCTTTGTGGTTTTCTTTTTTGAAGATGTTGAGTAATGTCACCATGGCTACCATGAACAATTGAAAAATGAGCTCCATATGTTTGACATATAGCCTGATAGTTGTTACCTATTGAAAAGTCCTTTTTCAAATACTTAAATTGTTCTTTAGTTTTCATCATGACAAGGACACAAACACTTTGTGACATTTCTAGAATAAAGATCGAACTAACTTCACATGGTTGTAGCTTGCCATGCTTTGCACCTAGCACTGATTCAAGTTGTTCAGAGCAATTGCCACCACTGCAGCTTATCAGAAATTTGACCACCGAGGAGTGTTATTGTGAGCACAGTAAGATTTTATTGTGTACATACACTACAAAGCTTCCATCTACCCCATGTTCAAGTTTACTCTTAGTTTTGTTTCAGGAACAGTAGCCATTTAGTGAACTCCAGGGCCAGATTAACCTTCTGTGGGTCTGGAACCAAATATATTTGAGTCTCCAGGGGGAAGGATTGAAAAAGACTGGCGATTGATACAGGAGTTGACACACTATGTAGGTTTAATTTACAGTATCTACACATTTCAGTTGCTGCCAGTAGGTTTCATCAATGGTAGCTATAGGACAAAAGTGTACATAATCTTTTTTAAAATTACATTACTGATTTTGAACATCCCCTCCCCCAAACATATGACCCTTTCTTGGCAAGACGCCAACTGAAAACTTGTTTAAACTTCTTACGGCATATGTACATATTAGAAAGTATGATACAAATTGCCCTGAGCCTCATTTGCCAATTGATTTCAGTGGGAGCTACAGATGCTCAGCACTCCTCAGGTCAGCGTTGGAGGTATGAAACAATGACAGGAATCGTGGAATCCATCATCTGTTACAATAACACTCACCTTCTTTTCAGGTCCAAGATCAAACCTTTCCTGACTCTGTACTAACAGCAGCAAACACTGATCAAACTCTGACATTCAAATAACACAGTACAAATAGTCCAAAGGGAAAGGAAAAAGGGGAGTAGGTTTTTTTAAAATGATTTCTGCAACAATCCAGCATCCTTTGATCTACTCATGGGCAAAATTTGGAAAACTAATCCCACTTCACTTTCTTAAAAGAAACTTTTAAAGGGGAGACTCCATCACTAATGAAGTTTAAAGGCAGATAATTAGCAGATAACAGATGGAACCACAACTAGTCTGCAGTCCACCCATTTTATGTGCATTCAGTTAGCAAACTAGTTCCTTTGAATCCATTTGTTAGCTGAAATCCAAACACTACCCAGCAGTCTGAACACCATCTCCCATTTCAAACACTAAATTTCTAACTGTATACACACATATAACCTGATTTCCTAGATTTTAGTACCATACCGTGCACCATCGTTTACTTAGCACATTACACACTGAAAAATATGTATACGGACGTGTAAGTGTACCTAGAATCATACAATCCTAGGGCTGGAAGAGACCTCAGGAGATCGAGTCCAACCCCCTTACCAAAACAGGATCAACTACAACTAAATCATCCCAGTTATGCCTTTGTCAAGCTGACACTTAAAAACTTATAGGGAGATTCCACCCCTTCCCTAGGTAACCCATTCCAGTGCTTCCCCACCCTCCTAGTGAAATAGTTTTCCCTAATATCCAACCTCCCCCACTACAACTTGAGACCATTGCTCCTCATTCTGCCATCCCTCGCTGAGAGCAGCCTCTCTCCATCCTCTTTGGAACCCCTCTCCCACTTCAGCAAGTTTTTTACATCCAAGTCCACCCCCACCAGCCCACCCAGTGCTCCAGCCAGGGAGTACCGGACTGTGCCCCAGAGCTCCGTGTTGGGGAGCTTGCCCCAATGTGTCCTGGAGCTTCTGGCCGGGGGGCTTGCCTCGTCGTGTCCCAAAGCCCACAGCCAGGGAGTGGGGACCAGGGCTTAGTTCCCAACTCTTCTGTCCCACTCCACCCATTCTTGCCCACCCACCCAAAGTCGGGGCCTTCTGGCTATGCCACTGTTTGGGAGGCAAGAGTCTGGCATTTGCACATAACGCCCAGCCCAGCAGAGCTGGTGCATGAGGATCATTGCTTCAATGCTTGTGACTTTGACTTCAGTGAGGATGCTGGTGATAGTGCAATGATCTTGGCACTTGATGCAAAGGATCTTCCAAAGGCATCATTGGTGACACCTCTCCAGACTGCTGTGATGCTGTCATGAGGTTTTGCAGCCATAAAGGGGTATAAAAATAACAATTATCTTATAGACATGGATCTTGGTGTCCCTCCATAGGTCACGGTCCATGAGAATGTGGTACAGCAATTTACCAAATGAGGCATTTGCATATTGGATCCTGTGCTGGACCTTGCTGTCAATTTTTGCCCTTTGAAAAAATTGGCTACTAAGGTGGCAGAAGTGTTTGACCATCTCCAAAATCTGTCTTTTAATGGTGATTTGAGGTAGGTCACTTACAAGGCCTGAGGCAGGCTGATGGAACACTTTATTCTCTCACTAGTGCCTAGCCAGTCTATATCTTCTACGATGCTTCTAGAGTCATGAAATTCCCATGAAGGAATATGCAAAGATTGGTCAGAAGGAAATCCATATTGCCCTATTGGAAATGTAGTCTTCCAAAGGAGTTCAGTCACAGGAGTGCTGACAGGGAAATATGGTTTGGTGTTTTACAGAACTTAGAGCTGTGCAAACAATCCATTTTTCAATTCAATGGCTGATGAAAATAAATTTTTGAAAATGAATTTTGCTTGAAAATGATTTTTTTAGCAAAAAGCTAAATTTTTACCTTTTTGAAATAAAATTGAAGTATTAGTTTAAAATAAAAAAATCATTTTACAATAAAAAGTTGAAATACTTTGTCTCAAAAATGTTACGAGTTTTCTGTGAAACATCAAAATATTTTGTTTTTCTTCAGCAGACTCAAAGCAAATTCAGCATGAATTTGGGAAATATCTCAGTGGCTCTGAATAAGAATTTGTTCAATGAAAAAGTTGTCAAAAATGTCACTAATATTATTAATGCCTACTCCTAAAATACCAAAAGACTTACATCCTGAGGGTATGTCTACACTACCACCCTAGTTCGAACTAGGGTGGTTAATGTAGGCAACTGAAGTTGCAAATGAAGCCCGGGATCTGAATTTCCCGGGCTTCATTTGCATCTTGCCGGGCGCCGCCATTTTTAAAGCCCCGCTAGTTCGGACTCCGTTCCCGCGGCTACACGCGGCACGGACTAGGTAGTTCGGATTAGGCTTCCTATTCCGAACTACTGGTATACCTCGTTCCACGAGGAGTAACGGTAGTTCGGATTAGGAAGCCTAATCCGAACTACCTAGTCCGTGCCGCGTGTAGCCGCGGGAACGGAGTCCGAACTAGCGGGGCTTTAAAAATGGCGGCGCCCGGCAAGATGCAAATGAAGCCCGGGAAATTCAGATCCCGGGCTTCATTTGCAACTTCAGTTGCCTACATTAACCACCCTAGTTCGAACTAGGGTGGTAGTGTAGACATACCCTCAGGATGTAAGTCTTTTGGTATTTTAGGAGTAGGCATTAATAATATTAGTGACATTTTTGACAACTTTTTCATTGAACAAATTCTTATTCAGAGCCACTGAGATATTTCCCAAATTCATGCTGAATTTGCTTTGAGTCTGCTGAAGAAAAACAAAATATTTTGATGTTTCACAGAAAACTCGTAACATTTTTGAGACAAAGTATTTCAACTTTTTATTGTAAAATGATTTTTTTATTTTAAACTAATACTTCAATTTTATTTCAAAAAGGTAAAAATTTAGCTTTTTGCTAAAAAAATCATTTTCAAGCAAAATTCATTTTCAAAAATTTATTTTCATCAGCCATTGAATTGAAAAATGGATTGTTTGCACAGCTCTAAGTTCTGTAAAACACCAAACCATATTTCCCTGTCAGCACTCCTGTGACTGAACTCCTTTGGAAGACTACATTTCCAATAGGGCAATATGGATTTCCTTCTGACCAATCTTTGCATATTCCTTCATGGGAATTTCATGACTCTAGAAGCATCGTAGAAGATATAGACTGGCTAGGCACTAGTGAGAGAATAAAGTGTTCCATCAGCCTGCCTCAGGCCTTGTAAGTGACCTACCTCAAATCACCATTAAAAGACAGATTTTGGAGATGGTCAAACACTTCTGCCACCTTAGTAGCCAATTTTTTCAAAGGGCAAAAATTGACAGCAAGGTCCAGCACAGGATCCAATATGCAAATGCCTCATTTGGTAAATTGCTGTACCACATTCCTTCAGCAAGTTGAAGGTCGTTATCAAACCCCCCTGTAGGGGATTGACCCCCGGGGGGGCTTAGGTCTGCCCCCTCAGTTACCAAAGCGTCGTCTGCCACTCCACGCAACTCGCTCTGTGCGTGCACACGGCGGTTGGGGGAAGGGGGTCCGGGCCCGCCCTCGCTCCGGACCCCAGCCCAGGGCCCTAAGGTAAGGGAAAGACTCCCCACCTAGCAGGGGGGGTCGAGACCCCCTAAACTGCCCTGCTCTCAGGGTCCACGTCCCTGCCCTGGGCCACTTCTTCCCCTGGAACCAATCGGTTCACCTGGGTGTTCCCTCGGCCCCCACCCAGGGCCTCCAACACCCGCTTACGCTCGCTGGTCTTTGCGGGGGAAGCGTCTCCTCTGCGTCCTCCCCCCCTGCCTGGCTCCCGGCCGCTTTTGAATGGCCCGCCGGTCGCAGGCAGATGACGTCAGTGCCTTCATATGCCTGCGGCCCCTCCCAGGGGCGGGCGGCACGG